ACAACTGAATTTACCTAAAAGACGTTGTTTTATGTTCCAAAACAATTTTTATTTCAATTCATTGTCATAATTTCTTGTTGTTCTGTTGAATTTCGTGTAGTCTGAAGAACGCGACAGTCTACGTTTGTCAGTAACGCGATTTCAACCTTACACATCTAATATAAATATGTTTTGTTTCGTTAAGTTATTTGTTTTGCTATTGTGTGTATAAATATTGACACTAGAGTCTTTAGCTACAGAGATTTTTTTTCGTATTGGTTAATGCACAAGTAATGTGATGTGCCGCATAAAGAGGTTTCGATTGCCACATGCGGCCCATTTTCAGCAAGTTGCCGACCCCTGAACTAAGAAAATACAGAAACATAAACTGAAAGCATCCAAGTAATTTCAATGAGTATCTTTTTTATTTTAAATAATTGCATTCAGGCCACGGCAGATTCTTTGCTGCTAAGCAAGCTGGAAATAGCCAGGGTCACGGTGGCTTTTTATATTCGTCAGAGCGAGACACCTGGTGGCCAATAGAGGAACGTAACTTTGATTGAAGTTCGGTGTACGTGGAGGCCAAGATATAGATTGGATTCTAATATTTAAAATCCCAAATTACTGCTCGTCTTTTAGAAGAAGCATTGACGTTGAGATGTAAAGATATACCACCGTGCTGTCACATATTCTTGTTAACCGCTGAATGCGGTATGTTGAATTCTCAGGAACCACGTCAGATTGATTTTCGTGGACAGCGATCAAAACTTGTTTGAATGCATTAACCTGAGCTTTAGTGACTCGTTGTTTTTCGACGTCATTTCGATTGCAAAGACATTTAGTCTTGTCAGACATTTATACCAACTGATACCTGACGACGAGTATGTAGATGTCTTGGTTGTTGTATTAGTCTGACAGGTGATTACCGACGATCTATAAGTGATTACTGCCGCCATAATCAAAGCTTATCACAGCGATAAATCATCTTCAACTTATACTATTTTTGTTGGTTTTCTTTTTCTAACCTGAAATCACATTGCACAGCGTTTTAAGCTGTTTGTAAAAAGATGCAAGGATCAAGATTCAGAAATCCGATAATAACATTTTTATTTCTTTCAAAGTGAGCGACCATACTGATATATTATTAAAATTTGAATATGTCAATTATTACAAGTCTCACTTTGCGAAGAGAGCGAACGATAAAGGCATATAGGAAGAAAATATTGAGGAAAACATAAGACCTAAAATACATTAAGCATCATGACGTGTATTAATTTATTTTTAAAGTATTTAACAACGGTGTTTTGACTGTTGAAGTCGAATACGGCGTAGAAGATAATCATGAGTGCGAAGTCGGTAAGATTTTGGAAAGAAATCAGGGTACTAGTAACCCGTCCGAATCTCGAACTAAGTACCGTTACAATACAAAAAATGAGACATGAAGTGAATTTTCAAGATTGTAGCTCAATTTGAAGAAAGGCCAAAGTCCTATTATAAAATACGTGTGTGTATTTTCGCTGCAATACGAGGTGTTTGCATTTGAAAATTGCTGCCCAAAGGGAAGACTGAATCCGCACTGAGGCTTACTGATGTCGAAGAGGTGACTTTTAATTAACAGACTCACCTCTGTTAAAATAATGGCTTGAATCTTCGTTTTGGAGCCTGAGGCTTTTCGCTACTCCATTGTCCTCATGTATTACCTCTGTTTATATTCGCTTTATTGTAAGGGATTACAATTGTAATTACCACACAGCACACACTTGCCTGGTGTCTTGTATAATCTTTTGTTAATACACATTTGTTATACGTTCTGAGGTGCATTATTCTCCCACTCGTAGGTGGTCATATAGATTGAAATCTTTGTATGACGGAATTTAATTAAATACAACACTCATTATATTTCCAGATAACGAAGGTTGGGGAATATTTTTATGTCCACGTGTTGGCCTTTGGCTACATTTGCATTAAAACCTATGTTACTCGGATCACATTGTTTGAGTCAGGCGATTAATTAACGCGTCTATATGCGATTCCCGTAACTTGTGTGAGTTGCCAGTATTTACCGGAGTGTAAAATCATTTGAGAATTATTGTGCAAAGTTGTATCCTGAGTACATAAGCAATGATGCGTTGTACGTTGTTAATATAAAGTGTACCTTTGGGCAACGAATTAGGTCTGTTCTTAAGAGAATTGTTCGAGGTTAAAGACTGAATTACTTGCTTAGAGAAGAATATTATTTGTGGAACGGACCAATATTGGTTTAGAACATAATGCTGAAGGAAATCTAGAACAAAATAAATAGAAATTACAACCATAAAAACAACAGATATCAATGCTCAATCTAACGCGACAGTAAGAAAATAAAAGTGTGAATATTTATTCTGAAGTTCTCGAACAGGAAATATTGTTAACGACCGACGGACAAATATATATTCTACCTTTTTCGTTTCTTTAGTCTTTTCTTCTTTATTTACTGTCATCCCTTTTTAACACCCTTCTTTTCTTTCCTCCCGTCTTCTTTAACATATATCCTTGATGTTTTCCTCGTTTATTATCTTCTGTCCTTCCATGTTGGCGTCATTGACGCCTCCAGCCGCTCAAGATTTAAGATCCCATTTTGTTACAAGTTAACATCCAAGTGTTACCAAGCTAAATGTTTCCTCATACTCCTCCGTGGCATTTTTGATATAATACCTGGTTCCCGGCACGTGGGTACAAGAGTTCAAGACACACGCTGTTACAACGAGGCCTTTTGGAACTGTTGATGTTAAAATTTTTATGGTTCTTTATAAAATATAGATCGAATAGTGGAAGGGAGAAAGCATTTAGTCCGAGCTACAAGAAGGGAGACCCTGAACGCTGGTTACTCGGGCAGGCTTTCTGTTTACCCGAAACACTTTGTGTTAGGTAACGTTATTCAGCAAAGATCCTGTTACGGACTGTATTCAAACTCTACGAAGGAAACGCTTTTATCACAAGATAAGAAAGACTTTTACAGGAAATTTGCAATTCTAAGTCAGTAAAGTCGATCTTTAAGGAACGAGGTCATAAAATTCGTAGTTGGAAGGAAAAAATGTGTATATTGAACGAGAAAATGACAAGGCAATGCACAGGTCGTCTTAAAATGTATGATGACGATGATAATATTTTGTTATTAGGTCTGGACATGTAGAACGCATGAAGATGAGAAATACTTTCGAAGTTGTTGAAAGCCAAAAGGAAAAAAAAATGTCGGTGACATAGGAGTAGATTGGAGTATAATATTAAAAAGGATTTTAAATGAATAGAGTTTAAGATATGGCTCTTTCAATCACGAGAACGGGGAGATATATAGCACGCGGGAGGAATTTGTTAACCAGTCGAGCGACTGTAAGTTTTCAGGAAATTCTGTGTTCTACGGCGTAAAGTAATTATTCAAGAAGTAATATAATCAAATGAAGTGTTTTTCTTATTATGCAAACAAGAGTTTGGCTTATATTGATATTACGTAAATGCTCCTTAGTTCACTCTGCACAGTCACTTTATACTTTGGCCCTTCATGTAAGGTTTTCACGGCAATGGCCGCGGTCTTTGATTCATTGTGCCATTTAGTATTATGATTGTGTGTCATTGTTTCGGAGGAACACATAGACTCCATTTTCAAAACTGAAGTTATATTCTATAGTCTAGATGTCTTAATAAACGTCTTATCACACAAATAATTGGTACAGACATGATGAAATATTATATATATAGACATACAAATTACTTGCTACAGGTTTTATTAGAATATTATAGGATTGTGAGTAGACGATTGCTGGATAATATTAAAAGCGATATGGTAAGATGAGATATAAAAGTGTATGGAATTATTTCAGAATCGTATTTATTGGCGCCCTTTGGTACCAACGGCGCTAAAATGTACAGTTAGTTTACCATAAATTTTATTAGTTATGGTTTTAATAATTATTTAATGAAATATAAGGAGATTTTGTAATTATGCTGCGTATATACTGTGATTAGCTTCTTAATAATAACCTCATAATTTATCAGCCTGTCGTGTTAACTGTATAGTTACAGTTTAGGTGTACCGTCACCTTCTAATATATAACCTGCCAGTGTTTATTGAATTTACGCTGTTGAATTATGTATTATTTCATTAAGACCATTATTGAACGACACATGTTTCAGAGTTGTATGTGGTATCTGTACCTCTTCGTTACCACCTATCCACATTGTAGAAAAATAAACTACTTTTGCTATCTTGTCAACGTAGTAATTTCACCGTAACTTAATGGAACTTGAGATTTACAACAACTTTCCCTGCTTTATACAGCTAGATAGCAGATTTCTCTCTGTGTGCAGTCTAAGACGTGTAACATTGTATTTGTATCTGTAATAAAGTAGATTAACACCAATGAGACATACATATTTGCAAGTAACCCATGCGGAAATCAAGTGTTAGATTGCAAACTTTTATACTAAAATGACACTTGTAAGGAGAATAATGTAATATTCAGCGGAACATGGAGTACAGGGAATGGAATGTATTCCTGAACTATAGCCCGAGTTATTTTATTTCAGAAGTGTACCGATCAATGCAAATATTTGACGTCATAATCTCCACTCTTCAGCACGTGTCAAACGAGTGTATTTTATTCATTTCCGAATTTAAAAATAGAATCCGAACCTACCCGTCTCTCATATACCTACCGTTTCCAGAGATCAAAGGCATCGCGTTGTATTGTCACGTTTTGCTTTGCTCTTTTATTTTTCGATGGAATGTAACCCAGTTTCATCATCTGAATAACAGAGTTAGAATTCATTTCAGACAAAAGAACAGATTAATAGAAATATTTAGCAAAAGATGTGATATCTCTGTGCTATAAAATATTTACAAACGTAATATAATTTGAGGGGCACAATATTTTCACTCCTTGCTCATATATTATTTTGAAATTTACATAGCGCCTGATGACATGATTGGCAAGTAATTAATTGGGAAGGAATTGGTAGTGATCTGATTTAATTTACTGTTTCAGCATTGGAGGAACAGAGAAATACCACGGAGAACTTTCGCCATTATAACTGTTGTGCTAGCCAAGACTTGAATGCGGGACCTACAGCAACTAAGCTGAAGTGCTAACTATCGTTGCGAACCTTATTGTCGTAACAGATTGATTTCTGGACAAATACAATTAAACCTGAAAGTTTCTATTTCATTAAATAATCTTACGAAAACAGTTTCAGTGAACGTTTGTTTTTAACTATTGATTTAAATGAGAATATAGTACTTGAGGTCCTCATGGAGATAGATTTGGTAATTTTGATTTTCTGCGTTGTGACACTATGTGGACTTCTAAGTTTATACCATCGTTTCTGAAGGACATACTGTCTCGATCTTTAGAGCTGACAGGTATTTACATACACGTCCATGTAGTGTTACAACACAGAAGACAAGAAATGAAGTCAAAATGTAAATATGACAGTCTTTTGGGGTATTGCGCCATGTAGTCTCGTACAAGTTGACCGATGTTTCAGGAGTATTTACATCTTCCATTATCAGGGTGATGAGTAAGGCACGCGAAAAATAGATTCAGATATGGGAGCAGGACAGAGAGTGTAGAAGTTTGGCCGGACCAGTAGATGGGGTGGCAAACAGAGAAATGGAACTAGCGTTGTAATGATGGACGCAGTAAACATCTCTGAAACGTCAGTGAACTTCTACCAGATGACACGCCACAACGTTTGAGCACACTCATTTTCAGCGACACAGAATCTCCATTGCGGAGCGTTCTTCTGAGGCTTAACACATAATAAATGAATTTCCGGTTTTATAGGAAACTGAATCTTCTATACCATGTTGGCAAAAGCCTGCATAGATCCTTATAATGAGACAGATGTGTTCAGTCCACACATCCTCTTGTATAAGATTCGTTTTAATATTATTTTCTTATCTTTGCCAGCTTCTTCCAAGTCGTCTTTTCCGTTCAGGATTTACACCCAAAATAATGTATGCGTTACTTATTTCCTCCACGCATTCTGTAAGCCCCACCCATCTCATCTCCTGTGATTTAATCATCTAATAACATTTGGTCAAAACTACATTTTATGGAGCTCCTCAGTATGTAACAAACTATCTTTTTTCAGTAACCTGTTTTCAGACATTTTGACTGTATTTTTTCCCCAAATCTTTGTCCTTCATTTAATGTGAGATAAAGTTTCTCGCACATCCCGAAAGACTTTGACCTGCACGGTAGTAGCATTTACCGAATTTATTCTTCTGTTAATTTATTCGTGAATAAATTTTTGTTGCCGTCACTTATATATAAATTATGACACTGACATATTTTTGAATAATTTATTAGCTGCCTGCTTAGTCCTGTCATAATTTTGACCTGCAGATTGGTGACATAAAATTTATTATTTAGTGGTCACTGAAAGCTTTAATTATTAAGCTAGGAAGCTGTCATTTTTACTGCACTCCACAAAGGATGATTTGCCTGAAAAAAAATCAGTAAAAATAAGTCTGAAACTTACCATGTGCAGTCTATCTTAAAATCCTTTATACCTTTCAGTAGTACAGTACTACACTTACACAAACTAACCATTTTACCACAATTATTGGCTACTTATTTACTTTAGTTGCAAAACGCGTTTATGTTTCATGAACCCATCATCAGTGTTTACATATTACATATTTTGTTATACATATGATAAAAGAACACATTAAATTGTAAAACCCTACCTTGTTATCAAATGACTAAATAACACAATCATTCGCTTTTAGTTTTAATGTCAATGTGATAATTGCTTAGGGGTTTAATAATTTGATGTACTCTTTCGTCGTATTGAATCAAATATGTAATGTATAATCACTGACGATGGCTTCATGAAGCCAGAAGGCGTTTGGTAGGTACATAAATAAATAGCCAACGATAGTGGTAAAAGTGACTAATTTAATTAAATTTTGTAATATGTAGTCAAACCAGTTGATATTTTTCTATCCTTTTTAATTGCTACGTACGTTTGGGAGGCTCACTGCTATTTATAATATATACAAATTCGCTGTTTTAATCATATTCTGCTTTAATGACTTTGCAAGAACAAGTCTTTATCTGGTTCGCCCCGCACAAAATATTTTATCGTCGTATTTTCATGTGAGCGCAAACGGGTACTTTAACTTCTTCAGCCCACAGTCCGGAAGACAATCGATTGAACGTGTAGTGATGGGCGGATAAACCTAAAAACCTTTGTTAATGATACGTTTCTCTCATGTTCTGACTAACCTACGTCACGTAAAGCACAATAAATTTGCTCATTCATGCTTCTATCTATACCATGATATAAAAGAAGAATCGACTATTCGTGATAATATCTGCAGTTCGATCGACCCATACAAAGCGACTGGAACATCGATAGGGAAGACAAAGTACAAGAAACCTGCTCTGCTATTGTTTCAATTTTTTATTATTATTATTCAGTGTTCTGTCTGACGACAGGTCCATTGCTCTGCCCAAAAAGAGCTCTCCAGTTTTCCCTATTCTCAGCTTCTCGTTTTAACTCCTGAAACTTCATCTTCTTTCCTTGTTTAAGATCGTCGGTTATCTGTATCAGTCTTCTTCCCAGTCCTCGCTTTCCTTCAACCTGGCCTTCGATGATATCAATCAGTAAGAAGTATCCGCTTCTTGACGAAGGCTGCCTTGGCCATGGCTATCCTTGCTTTTATCTCCATTGTTTCAATTAATGCGTTTTAATTACGGGCTCAAAGAAACAAAAAAAATTGAAACAATGTGTATAAATGACAGTGGTTTTACATGGTAGTAAAAATGTTAGGAATAAATTAGTTTAACTACAAATAAAATCATTTAAATGGTTTCTGCAGGCAAAGCTAGAGATTCACTTCATGCACGTAAAAATAAAAATATAATACCGAAAATGCATATGACCACTTACCACACTATAATATACCACATAAATTAAAATGACAAATAAAAATTATTTCAAATATAATTACAAGTTGTAAGATGGTAAACGCTTCAGAACAATTAGGACACTGCGTTATTTGAAATCACAGCATTATATATTTATATTCATATCGTAACTCATTAAATTACGGAACAATGGTGCTAATACTAACATAGAACACATACAAAATGATTATTTTAGTTGCCTAATCATTTTATATGTACTTCCCTTTCTAGGACTTTTACACCTTCGTAGATTTCCGTTCTCAATTACGTAACTATATGCTGTACTTATAATTTTGTTCTTAAATGTGCTTCACTACATCCTTTTAATGAGGACATAATTAGAATTAGATCAGCCAGTAATCTTTGCAATTTAAATACACAGAGTTGTACAGCACAAAACATAATAAACTCAACACATTAAATAAAGCCTCTTATTATTCTGTTTTCTTCCACCGTCTTCGTAACGCGGCCTGTGAGTTACATTTGTTTGTATTTAATTGTCTGCATTCGCCCACTCTCTCCGCACTCTGCTGCCATTGCTTCGTACTAAATCCTGTTATTTTCTCAACGTCCTCTTTGACTTCCACCGGACCCCACGTTTTATTTCGCCCACGACCAGTAAAAACACGCCGTAATCTTCGAAACTGTTTTATTTCTCATCATAAACCAACTTATCTAACTTCATGGGCGAGAGCTCTTGAAAAGCTGACAGTTAACTCAGCTCCTGAAGAAATATATCTAATTTTATGAAACCTAATTGATTATTAGATCTATTGTATAGAAAGGACCCGTCACCGATCATTATCCAGAGCCACATGAATCCAATCCACACCCTAAAATCATATTTTTTGGTTTTGCCTTTTAATATTATCCTTCTATCCAAGTCTTTGTCTTCCGAGTGATCGCTTTCCTTGATGCTTCCGACATTTTAAATGAAACTACCATTCAGCATATAGACTCTCGAACAATTCCACTCTGTTCATAAAAAAGCCAGAAAAATAGCTAAAACATCTTTCATAGAACAATAAAGTACAGCATAAATAGGCCTAAATCAGAATGTACACATCACTACAACAATACAGAGCTAGAAGCGAAGTTCAAAGCATACTTTACTTGAATATTAATATGCCAATAATTTTACAATATAAATTAAATAAAAGAGCGGAAGTAGCTCAGTATAGTGACTAGCTGCGGGCTGGACGACTGAGTTCGATCCCCGGAGGGGGAAGAGGATTTTTTCCTCTAGTCTCTACGTCCAGCCCTTTGTCCAATGGGTACCGGGGTCCTTTTCCGGGGATAAAATGCCGGGGCGTGACGCTGACCACTACCACCCATCTAGTGCCGAGGTTAAGAATAAGTAATAGTAATACCTTCTCTCCCCCTAAGCGCCTACATGGCGTGTAGCGGGGCAGCTTTTTTTAATGTTAATCAAATTAATTTACTGTTTAAAATTAGGAGCCAAGAGATGAAACAGTTAGTTTGAAACGTGTCTCCTAGCAGTGTAAAATAAAAAATGTATATGAAATTATTAGGCTTGTGTGACTTCTTATTAAGATCAGGCGGAAAACATAATATTGCATTCTGGTTATGAGTGTCAAAGTTTCATACGGACACCAAAGCACAGGTAATATTTTAATTTTGTATGAGATTAATCTTTACGTATTTTACATAGCAGACGGGAAGACAGAAATTTCTGAAGTGGTTGGTGGAAAGCTTGAATTCAATACGCCCTTAGTTTCTTCACAAAAGGATTTTTCATTCATTAGGAATCTTTATATAAAGATTCTGACTTGCTACTGCTACACGCAGGTGACTGGGATATTTTGTTGGTGAATGTTGCTTGAGAAATTCAGGTAAGATAATTTTCTAATATTTACAAGTAACTAACTGAGGCAAACATTATTATTATTGCTTCTATTTACCATTTTACAGGGCGTTTACTTCTATGCACCTGAGACAAATCTTGTCCCTGAGGTACATAGTTGAGCAGCTATTTCCGAAATACATTTTGTATTCTAATACGTGTTACATGCGTTAAACAGATTTCGCGTGAGGCAATATATATTTTACATGTGCTTCTTTCGAATGATGTATGAAGATCCTAAAATTTCAGTTTTCTGAAGTTCCCTGATGTCGTGTTCGCCCGGGATGTTGGCCAAATATGTTTTGAGTGACTTTGAAACAGTTCCAGTTGCTACTATAATTATTGGAATTATTTTTGCTTTCACTTTCCACATTCGTTATATTTAAATGGGAAGCGCCTTATATTTC